TTGTCCACTCCCCTCAACCATACTTATCGAAACTCTTGAGCCTAAGATCCATGATTCAAGAGAAGCAAGTTCATTTCTCTCCGTCAACTGGCAGATCGTCTTGGCTGCCTTAGCCAGTCCAGATTGGCGGTCGTGGCTAATCTGGCTGCATCGCTCGACGTCAACATTTGCAGCTACCGCATTTGTCTCCTCTCCGTCTGTTTGCCAAACTTCCGCCTTCGACCTCAACACCTGCCCTGCGGATCACTTAGCAGCTATTCAGCATGAGCTGGTCACTCACCTCCTCTTTCATCTTCACCATCCCCGTTGTCAACCAAGCTCCTCCTTCGTTCCGCTACCTCCTTCATCAGACAGAATGGCGGCTGTTAGAATGGAGACGGATTTTGAGGTATGCAAGTCTCACAACCGAATTTTCAAGAATGCGAGTTTGGAGAGTATCCCCCATTTATTCGTGTGTTGAAGTTACATTTCGTCGGTATTCAATATCATTTATGTGTGGTGCAATTTGACTTTATCGTTACCATAACTAGAAATACGACTTTTGCTTTGAACTTTGTCTTGGCTTTTATACAACCAAAACACTTTAGCATTAAGGGTAAACTGAAAATTGTTCGCAGTAGAAAAAATGCTAAAGCCGATAAACCTCCAATTTTTTACTTCCCCAGCCTCATCTTTCGTTAGGGGGACGAGAATGGATGATTTGGGATTTCATATTTTAGCGTCATAATTTATTTTTTTATATTTACTCCTGACAAATATCTTATTTTATTAATCGAGCAGAGATGTTTGATCAGGTTTATTAGAATTAAGCAACACAAACTTCAGCATGTACATATAAATTGTTTCCAGGAGTGTTATGGTTACAGCATTAACATATTTTGATGCGCTGAATTGGAGTCATTATTTGAAATCTGAGAAATAAATTCTTAATACAACTAGTCATAAAAATATTCCTAGAGAGTAATCCTTTTACAAATTAGAGATTCACATGGTACTACGAGAAGCTCTGGGGAATGTTAAACTAAAGTAGATTTAAATAAGCTATTTTTGAGGCAGGATGAATGCTTTCAGTTTTCATTTAAATTTTCGAGGTCCAAAATAGTATAAGTCGTTTTTTAATTTCGTATGTTTTCTAATTTCTCCCATGCCCCATCGTATCTATGTAAGGCCTTAATTAGTTTAAATCGTTGTCAGGGTTTATATTAAGATTGGTTAAACATATTTTTGAACTTTTTCTTGTAGAATTACTTCTCACCTTCTTGGCTAATTAAAATGCTTTTATTTCATTCACTGAGTCAAGTCAATCTTGAATTATCTTGATGGAAATCTTGGAAGTAGATAGTTTTTGAACCATTTTTACTTCTATAGTTAAGAATCCTTTTAACTCATTCCCATTATTATTGTCTTTTTCAGTTAAATATTTTTGTACTTCCTGCTTCAGTTTACCAAAGGTTGTGCTAAATCTGGTTGTTTAATTTTCTTTCGTATTCATGTCAGTACCTTTTATACCTGAATGTGACTTTCACTGGCCAATTGTAGGTGAATATATGGAAGAGGTGGATTTCCTCAATCGATCGCTTATACTTTATCTTGAATCTAGACAAGGACTGCGTTCAAGTCACGTCTGGTGATAATTTACAATTTGCTGTATCTTATTCTGAACCCTACACATACCCAATTGAGGCAACGAATGACCTTTCGTCTACTGACTATCACCGACTCTTGCCGAGTATACATGGTTTGGCTATCGCTTGTCTATTCAGGACACCATCACCGGATTTCCTCATCTCTTCTAGTCTTTGCTCGCATTCTGTTACTAAATTTTCAGCTTGTGACTCTTCCCATCTACCACAAGCTTATAGGAACCCCTTTCATAGCGGGTGCGAAGTAATGGAAGAACCCAAAACCTCCATTAATCCCCACGATTCTGAAGAACTTTGGGATCCACTTTCTATCCTCTTTGGTGAGTATACTCTTTTTAACAGTATACATAAATAGACATATTTTAAATGTCAGTTATTTATCTATTTTATGCGAGTCCTTATCATAATATTTGAATATCATAGGAAAGCTAATCATGTGAAAGTGGGACGAATAACTACTCTGCCAAATTGATCTAACTTTAATTATACAGAATAAGCTTTATTAACAAGCCCCCCAAAGATAGATAGCCTATATTATTTCTATCAAAAACGCACCAAGATGTTTTTATTAAAAATAATTTGTGTTTTCATTTTATGTGGCTTCTGTAATTAATTAGTTTCACCATTTACCGATGAAGTACCACTTTCGGCAACTTCTTTAGAACAATAGTGAACTTTACTCTTACATTAGATTTGTGAATAACTTCCATTCTAGTCAGTTTTTGTCCTCTGTTAATAAGGCTATGTTGTTAAACTGCATATTTCATGCAATCTTAATTAACTAACTCTCCAATAAATTCCTTTTTTAAAATTTAATTAGGAGTAGCTTTCAGTTGGGACTTAATAGTTCGTGCTGAGCGACTACCGCGAGCAGTTTCTTATTCAATTATTACGACTCGTCAGCATTTCATCATTGCTCTGCTAAAGAGGCTTCGTCTTCTCATCTCCAAGCTTCAGAATGGAAACAATTCAACAACTTATGGTGACGGAAAATTAGTGCATTCCACTATTTCTCGAGACCTTCTTCTTCTCCTTCACATGATGAACCTTGTCTATATTGCTGCCGGGCTGCCAGTCAACTCATCACCTACACACACAAAGTTTCTTCCTCCAGGTTCCTATTTTCAGATTCAAGAACAGCAGCCGCAACCTATCAATGGCATCCACATGCTTGGATCCTATCCCCTTTCACTAAATTTTTCCTCTCCCTCAGGGCCAATCTTTGTTCCTCTATTTTCATCCATCCGAGATCAATATTTGCTAGAACCTAATAAATCACATAAATCTGGGGCTGCCACTCTGACGAACTGCAGAAGAGCAGTTAATAATCATGCTATCCCTAAGGCTAGCTATCAACATATCTACCACTCAAGCGGGAATATAAGCAACATGGCTGGCTTAATTGCGAATGGCGCCCTTGGCTTAGTTCAATCTCTTCTTCGAATAGAAACTGGCTCTTTATTAACCTCAGGTATATAATCTTATTTCGCCATATTTCTATTCGTTAGACTTAAATAAATTAACCTTATATGATCTATCCCTCACTAATTTCCCCTCTAGTCCAAGATAACTAGCAAAAACCATGCTCTACTTCAGTTAATACACATTCGCCTGTACTGGTATACTTTTTCTGTAGTATATGCCAACACAGAATCGGATACGTTATGCTTTTTAATGATTTTGTTAGTGAGCTCCTATTTGAGTGGTCTGAAGTCTATTTTTACACTATTTTTGATAAAAAATTGCGCTTCATACAATTATATGAAACTCTACTTTAGGATGATTTTTCAATGAGTAAAATTATCTATTTCATTGTAACTAGCTATTTTAAATAGTTTTTATATAGCTCATTCTTAGTTTCATTTTTGCGTGGATTTTATTTCTTTATGGTTGCTAGTAAAGATATAATGTAGTCATTTATTCTCTATCAAGCCCACTGCCTTGCAAACATATGATTTTACATCAGATACTGCATCGATATCTCCTAGAACTAGCATATCTTTTATTTTTTTAATAGCTTGTCACTATTCAGCTTTTTTATAATTCAAAATTGTTTGATATTGATGTAGCATGATCTTTCCTCATTCTTGTTTCTTACTAAATTATCCCTATTTGAGCCCATGCAGTCTCATGAACCCAGCCATTCGGTTTTAACCATTCATCTTCTCCTTAACATATTTAACCCTTTATCAAATTATCAGCCAAGAAGGTATCCTCATTAAAGGTGTTTTTCTTATTTGTTTAGTCTTTTATACAGAAACTAGAGATCTAACTATGAGAAACCGCCTTTTCAACCTCATTGTACTTACGTAACTCACCTCTAAACGTAGTATTCGATCACAGACCCTTGTGCATACACTACGATGCACAAGTTTTTGAAGCGTCATTTGGTTTATATTTACTTTAAAATAATAACACTCTTTATTATAACTTTAAATACACTTGATATTGCTAATTCAGGCCAAGTTAAGTAAATAAAATTCCTGGATTTTTGTTATTTATACCTCTTAAAGTGGCTTGAAACCAAAGGTGCAGGAACGGTTAAAAACAGGAGTGAGAACAATTAGGTTCCGAGGTCCGTTCAGATGCCCAAGGTTTCCGTACTTTTTGTCTCATAATTTATTCCACTAATTGACAGACTAGCTCAAATTTAGCTGAGTGGCACTAGAGTACCGTAGTGGTGGTGGGAACAATACAATTTAAGGGTTTGCTTTTTAGATATTAATGGGGCTTCAAATCGTATTTTCTATCATATTTTCACTTCAAAAATAAATTAAACATGGATAGATCTATGTTAAGTATTCTGCATTATTTTTGTTGCTTTTATTCATTTAAGACCACCGCTCAATTTGGCCTGAACTGAGTCAGGCCGCCCAACAAACTCTTTTGTTGGCACTTCTTTCCGCTGCCGCCTCAGCCCCTAACTACGGCGCTCTTGGATTCAACATTTTGGGGGGTAGATCACTGGATAAAAATTTATTCGATACAAGTTCTAAGAATATTTCAGAAACTCTTACTCAGCCGCTTCCCACGACCATCTTATCACTGAGCCGCCGGTCCTGTAATATTTCTCAAAGCATAATGTGGTTACATCTTGTCGATTTGCTCTACTGTCTACAGGCGAAACCATGGGCTTCATGGTTATTTATCTCTTCAATACTCGCATCTAAAGTGCCCCGCTTCAAAGAATCGGGTAAGATATTAGTTTATTTAATCAATTTTTAAAATTGTATTATTTTCTCCCATTCTTATTTAATTTTGATTTCTATCATATGTAAATATAACCGGGATCTAAAAGCCGAACCTGAGACCAGGTTAACGTTCGGCTTTGATCTGATTACTCTGTTTCTTTTTTTTCTCTGTTTCACATAAGTATATATGTATATTAAATATTAGCATTGACTCGGACGCTTTCATGCTTCACTGAAGTTTTCCTTGGTAATACCCGTTCCTCATAGTTTATTGTCAATATTGTTTTAGATTTTAATTGCTTTTGAGTCAAATCATGTTTTACCTTAAATTCAGATGCACACTATTGTCTCTTTTAGTTTATCTCTAACATAAGTCTATATTGCTTCTAGCTTTTGTTCATCCCCCGAACCAATCAAGTGTTTATTTATAACCAACTTTTTTACATCTTATTTTCAGTCTGCTTCAATTCCCTTGCTGTCTCCCCCGATTTGCTGGCATCTGTGGCTTCCTCTGTGAGCCTGGACCTCTCGATCACTTTTTTTCGGACAGTTCCGCTTCATCTCATTCCACCTCTTTCCATACCCATTTCAGGAAGATTGAGTACTTGGGTAGAACAATTATTGGCACGTTTGTTCAATTGCCTTTCTGCTATCAGTGGAACCGTCGATCAGCTTATCTATCGTATCACCTTGGGTCAGTCTGGCTTCTTGATTGATGCCAAGGGAGACCCCTTGTCTGTGGATGCCTTGATCAAGGACGAAAGGCCCTCTGAAAACCTATTAAACGCCCAGCAAATTACTACTATCCACCTTAAAACACTTTGGGCCAGATATACAGAAATGGTGATTCTTACTTTATCTTATTTTGTTTTGACTTAATGCTTAATTCTTATAAATAGATGGGACTAAAGTCCTTCTTATCACAGCTCAACTTTTAATACTTTTATCATGGAAACAGAATGGGGCAAAAGTACAGCACAACATTTAAGTCATATTAGTTCCTCATAAGATCAGCAACTTTGACGTGTGATTTCTTAGAGCTGTGTTTAAACTTGCTTCGGAAATAGGAAATCAAGGGATTAAATCTGAACTTAATGATTTCTCAGTTCATGACTCATTTTCATGAGATCACAAACTAATTAAGCTTGCATGTCTCGAAAATTTACTTATAAAGGGCAAAATGAATAAGCATTTATTTTTGCCTCGTTACCTTTGCTCCGAATATGGACTCATAAATTTTTGTGTCCGTCTACTCTATTTTTTCCAGTACTAAGTTGAATCAGAAAGAATTATACAGCACAAGCCTTGATGACTGATTATTGAGAATTTTAACTTTCATGAAAACATTTTGTGAGATAAGAGAAGTAGCTATTCATAGTCTAATGAACGCTTATTTTTTGATAAGTTTTTTTCTTGGACTATATTTGGCAGAATAGGACCACCACATTAAAGCTTATTTGCATGATTCTATATTTGGGCTATCCTCTAGATAGATAATAATTACATGAGACAAATGATTATGCCTTTAAGTTTCAAATATCCTAGTTATATAATGTATAGTAAACCTAGCTTCCTTTTCCATAGCTCCTGCTAAAATGGAGACATCATATCTTTTTCTGTCTACTTTACTTTCTATTCAGATACTCGCTTTTCGCCTCCTTAGTCTCCTCTTGCCTCGCACTCCTCCTCGACAAGACATCGGACTCTCCTTATGGCGACTACTCGACACCAGCGTACAACTACATCTAAGTGCCGCTCTCTCCAGTGAACATATAAAGCCTTCAAGTGCCTATGTGGAAACCTCAGAGCAAGGTAAAGTTAACAGAATAATTTAAATATTACTTCATTTAAACGCTTTATTGAGTTTTTTTTACCATGACTACGATTCAATGAAAATTTCAATCTTGTAACTTTTATTAATTTATTCATTGAGAGGCAATCGAATTTAAAGGCAAATATCTTATCGTTATATTTTAACTAAAATTGATATAAAGATTGAACTTGTTTGACCTTGCTTTTGCAACTTGGTCATATTGTCAGGAAGACCTAGAGAAACGCACTTTGTTCGGAATCCATAGTATGCTTTATGATTTCCAGAGTCGGAAATTGGATTTGATACATACCCAGACGCTTCGCAGGCACTGTAGTCGGCATCGCCAGTTATCCTTGCCATTCTTAACACCACGCCAAAACTCGTCAGAGACAAGTAAAGCCAATCCTTTAACCTTCTGACTGCTAAGCAGTTATGGTATCTCTCCTTTCCTGGTTTATGCCCCTTTCCTATATCCTTGTAATACCCCTCCACTACCACAATTTATTACCTAATACTGATAGCTTTAACGACCATTATTCAAAATAATTGGCTATACTTACACTATTCCCTTATCATAGAAATATATATATATAAATAATAACGACCAATGTATTCCATTGTTGTATGCCCAAATACCATTTTTATGATTGGCGATTTCGACTTAATTAGTTAGAAACCATGTTTAAGGCAAACTCAGTGAAATATTTCCACATTACCTTAATCTTAGCTTGTTTAGGTGAAAAAGTTAGGAGCCCTTTTTATATTTTCTCACTAATTTATTCAGATATACATTTAAGCAGAGTAAGTTATCTAGGACTTTGTCGCAAACTACAGCAGGAAATGACTATGACTTTTCCATTTTCTTATATGCTTGTATTCAGTGGTTAATTATTGAGGTTATTGGGTTAGACGACGAGTTGAAAAATAAGCTAAAGTTTTTTGCCGCTAGAAACAGCTTATTATAGAGCTTTATACGTGAAGTAGAATAGATTATTTATTTAATTCAACACAAAAGTCACTTGAAGCAACTTTAGCTGCACAATGTTCATCATGTAATGAAATTTTTGATGGACATACTTGACCAGACGCACTGTTGATCACCAATTTATTCAACAGACTTAGCTAGTTAGAGCGAAATACACTATTTACCGAAGTTCAGATCTGCTATAGTTAAAAGGTGCGAAAAAAGGACAGTCGTGCAAAGTATAAGTATGTAGAAAGCTGTTTTTCGAAGACTTCCTTAAAAGATTAATCTTGGAGTACCCTTTATTTCATTTGAAGAGGCGATTGGAAAGGACTAGTAAGTTGGCTTCTCTGAAGGCTGAGGTGGATTGCCTTGGGGCTGTGACTATAGATTTGTGCAAATAGGTCCTCGTCGCACTTTCCTACGACCCCGATGAATCGTGGCTAAGCTTTCGTCCGTCATGTGACGGAAATCGTCAGAGTTGGACAATTTGCTTATCGATAATTTTACAAAACGCCCTACTTATCCTTGTTTTTTGGTGAATTATCTTTAAGCATGACGTCCTGCTCTTAAGACGTCCGTCAAATAAGGGATGAAAGCTCAGCAAGGATTTCTGGAGATTAAAGGGTCTGCGCCTAGAAGTAGTTAGTGCTTGGAAGACGTCAATCCAGTTGAGAGCTCTTTCTGTTTAATAGGCTCCCTAAAGTGAGCTTTGGTTACTGATTGGTGCCGAAAAGCTTATTATTCTCAGCGCGAAAGATTGCAGTTTGAA